AAACAGCTGGTTTTTGAAAAGAACGATGGTTGAAAAGAATGGGGAGTCAACCCCTAGACATTTGGCTTAGGCAAATTTGGACGTTGGTTACCCCCCGTTGGCAAAGTTCAAAACTTGGGTTTCAACCCCCAACCACAAATCCAGAGAAGCAACTAAGAGTCATCGCATTGTCGGTGGGGATTCCTCTTCCGGAGGCCAAACAGTCCTGCTACAAAAACAAAGAACAAGGATCGTCAAGGAGGGGTCCCAAAAAGGCTCCGAATTTCGTGTTGACCCGCTAAGACTTGGTGGAATTGTGGATTTTGATTGGGGTTGCGTTCCGCAAGTGATCCAGACATCCCAGCTACCATTTTAGGTGGTGGGGGTGTGCACTCAAAGATGGGGTGATAATCTAATCCATCAGAATCAGAGACTCATGTGAAGGGACCCCGGAATTTGGTACCTCCAGCAAATACATAGTGTTCTTAGTGAATGTCGGAAGGACCCTCGACCACTTTGAGGTATATTCTCGAAGAAGCAAGTTCTGTACCCAGTTGGCACCTTTTCGGTGTTAACGATTTCTTGTGGGTCCCAAACTCACCAAACAAAAAAGGGATTCAGAGGGTAGAATCTGCGATGGGATGCGCAGAAACTTGCGATCGAAGGATCCGGACTCACGGACGCACCCCAAACACGTAAAATCAAGCGGCAGGTGGCGGCCGAACCCGGGGTTTCATTGATTCGTGGCAAAAAAACCTGAAACTTCTGCAAAAACCCAGCTAGTGCTTCATTGATTCACAGGGTTGCGACACCTGATCTTCATTCGATACCTGATCTTCATTGATTCACGGGGTTTCGAAACCCAGGACCAACATCGACCAACAAAAACTGGTCCGAGTCGGCTCATTCCACCCGACCTCGCAGCGATCGAGTCGATCGAGGCCTCAGCTGGCAGGCGATGCCGGACTTGGCCACCGAGATGCTCTGCTGTTCCATGGCCTCTGCCAGAAATGGCTCGCTCCGAGGCCCTCCAGAAAAAAAAAAAAAGCTCGGGCGATATCCCCAACAGCACCACACCCTCCCAGAATCCTCGCGGAACGCCCCGGACCATCCTTACCGCCGGTGTTGCTGAGGATGCCGCCTTGTAAAGCAAATCTACGAGTGACAGCGCAATCTCGCCCTGATCGGGGCCCGACGGCGCAATTGGGGCCCGATCGGGGCCCGACGGCGCAATCGGGGCCCGATCGGGGCCGGACGGTGCAATCAGGGCCCGATCGGGGCCCGACGGTGCAATCGGGGCCCGATCGGGCCGACGGTGCAATCGGGCCCCGATCGTCCCGTGGCAACCCCAGCCACCCATATTATAGCTCAACGCCGGTTTTCCTTAGCATGCGGATTGCAACTGCATCTATAGCAAAACTAGGCGATGCCAGCTTGGTACAATTGACCGATCGGGGCCCGACGGCGCAATCCCGATCGGGGCCCGACGGCGCAATCGGGGCCCGATCGGGGCCCGACAGCGCAATGGGGGCCGGGGCCCGATCGGGGCCCGACGGTGCAATCGGGCCCCGATCGTCCCGTGGTGCAACCCCAGCCACCCATATTATAGCTCAACGCCGGTTTTCCTTAGTATGCGGATTGCGACTGTATCTATAGCAAAACTAGGCGACGCCAGCTTGGTACAATTGACGGGGCCCGACTGAGTCGGGCCCCGATCGGGGCGCGATGGCGCAATCGGGGCCGATCGGGCCCAAACGGTGCAATCGGGCGGGCCCCGACAGTGCAATCGGGTTCCGGTGAACCTCGCAAACCGTTTTCACGCAACTTTCGTGGAGCTCAGCGTGAAACTTTGCTGGAACCTTTCCTCAGGGCTGCCGCATAGCTTTTGCAGAATTTGGAAACCTTCTGACCTCATAGCCCTCGCAGCCTCGTGGAACTCTTGCAACCCAAAGCAAACCAAGCAGCAATGCCAAGCATTTACTCTGCTGCACTGTGAGTTCCGCAGCGATGTGATCTGAAGTGAGCAAGCCACAAAACAGTGAAAGTGTGCTAAAAGCCATTGATTTCGGTTTTGCTTAGTGTTCCGCCCATGAGCAAAGCGATCTTGATCTGATGGCTTTTCAGACGACGGGCGCACGACACACCCTTGGTGGAGCATTGTGGAGCCTTGTGGAACCCGTGTGGAATCCTTGCAGAGCTTTGTGGAACCCTGTGAAACCTCAGGGCCCACAGCCCTCGCAGAATCTTGTGGAACCCTGAAACCCTCATACAACCTTGCCTCAAACCACCCCGGACCACCCCGCAGCCCTCGCAGAACCTCGTGGGACCCTGCTAGAACCGTGCTGGAATGGAACCTTACCTTGCAAAACCTGGTGAATTCTGGTGGACCTCAAACCAGCCCGGACCGCTGGTGGAACCCTGGTGAAACCCTGGTGGAACCCTCGTGGCGGACCACGCCGCACCCTCGAAGAAATTGGTGGAACCCTGGTGGAACCCTCGTCCGGAGCACGACTGGTGGAAACCTGATGGAACCCTCGTGGAACCTTACCTCAAACCCTCGGACCACCCTGCAGCCCTCGCAGAACCTGGTGAAACCCTGGCAGAATTCTGGTGGAAATCTGGTCAAACCCTCGTGGAACCTTCCTCAAACCAGACCACCCCAGCCCTCGAAGAAATTGCTGGAACCCTGGTGGAACCCTCGTGGAACCGCAAACCCGCAGCCCTCGAAGAAATTGGTGGAACCCTGGTAAAACCCTCGTAGAACCATACCTCAAACCACCCCAGACCACCCCGCCCTTGCAGAACCTGGTGGAACCCTGGTGGAACCCTGGTGGAACCCTGGTGAAACCCTGGTGGAACCCTGGTGGAACCCCTAGTGGAACCCTGGTGGAACCCTGGTGGAACCTTAGCTCAGGGTCGCCCCGAACCACCCCGGAGCCTATCTGGGCTGAGACCCCAAAGCTTTCAGCTGTTGGGGACAAAAAAAAGAGCAACCCCTAGGAAAAAAGAACAAACTGCACCAGCACCCCCCCCCCCCAACAAATGTTTTTGGTTCCTATGTCCAAAATCCTTCAGGAACACCATCAGCAGGTTTTCAGCACCCCCCCAACAGCTTTTCTCATGTCCAAAACCCCAACTGCCCAAAAAGCAGTTGTTGGTGGTGCTGGCAGCGATAGATTCCCATTAAAACCAACAACAGGAGGCATGAAACGAACTAACCCGAGAAAAAAATGATCTGGTTGAAAAAGCCAACCCACTGGGTTGCTGTAAGCCCACAAAAACCTCGCACCATCTAAATAGCATTCATCTTCAACCGGCTTAACCATATTCTGTTTGAGCCAAGGAACACATCATCCAGTCTCCCGAAGCAACCACCAGGGAAAACCAAAGAGAGGCACACACCAGGGACGGCAGGAGCCCAGCACGACCGTGAGGTTGATGCAAGGACGATGGCCTAAGCTCTTAAGTAACTAACATGGGTCATAGGGGTCATAAGGGGACGCACAAAATGGACTCCGGTGTTCCAACCCAGAAATGGTTCCTAAAAAAATGAAACACACTCCTGCATGGAGCTTAAAATGGGAACAAAAAACAAGCTATCTGATTTGCCTTGACCAAGCCTAGCCACGAGGCATCTGCTCGGACCAAACTGGAATTCCCGGGTTACCCCCTCCCATCATTGAATGTTCGCGGGAATGGGCACTATGAGAACCTTTGTTGGCTCAGCTCCTTTCTCCGCTCCCTTGGCGCTTTCTCTTCTATCTATCCGTGTCCGTCTTGAACACAAAGTGAAACACAGGGCAGCGGTGAGATACGTCTGCTCCGCTCGGTCAGCAAGCCAGCCGACGACCAAGTACCCCTTCCCGGCGACCGAGCAACCATACTGTAAATCTTGCAGCTTCAATTATCAACATGTCATCTGCATTGACCTCTCGATCTAAGGGGCTAAGATCAAACCACAAGGATTGGTTTTCACAGCCCGCTGACCATGGAAAGTGGATTCTGCCTCCAAAGAGTTCCTCATGCTCCTGGTGATCATATCCTTACTTCACAAAGAAGTGCAAATCTTTTGCCACTCTTAGTTTACATGAGTCAAACCAATGAAGCTGCGCTGCTTTGAAGGCAAAGCACCACGATCACATCTCACAGAGATGCCCTGCTCTATGTACACAGCGCCATTTCGGCGCGAGGGTTCGCAGCCAGACCCGAGGCAAGTCTTGCACTTCAGGGATGCGCCATGGCACCAGATTTGCACTTGACCCGCGGAGTGCACCGCTCGGAAAAGGACGTTGCTTCCTTTCAGTCACTCCTGGCCCGTCGACTTTGAAGGGGAACTCTGTTGGAGTGCCAGGGGACCAAAAGCTATGATGTTTTTTTCCGGTCGACTTCGGGGGAAACTCATTCCAAAGCAAACGGTCGGGCCGTGTCCGCTGCCCCCACGCACGGATTCCTTGGCTCTGTAACATCGTGGGGGAGCATTGGATGTTAGATGTGCTCCATGGTATGTTAGATGTGTCCTCCATTAGATGATCACACTGCATCGCATGCTGTACAACACCTCCCTTCAGAGCTGCCTGTTGCGGCTGCCCTGATTAAACAAAAAAGAAAGAACAAAAAACATGTGCATGGGCGCAAAAGTGAAAGCACGCGTCTGGGTAAGTCGTCATCATTCATATCGATCGCAGGCCAACACCTTGTGTGAGGTCGCATCGCCCCCTAGCCGCAACATAACTTTCCTTGTGCCCGCAAAGGACAAATGTATGGAGACAAATCTTGCTGTTGGAGGTACGCCCACACATTCTTCCAATTTGTCTGGGGATTAGCATTCACCCAAGAGGAAGTATCATGGACCTCCAATGCGGGCGATAGGAAGAAAATCCCTGGATAAGAGCGGGATAAGACAAGGATATAGGCCTTAAGGAGTTAATAGGTGACAGCCCCGCATGAAAGTGAACAGCTTTGCTCGGTCCAGCCCCTCACTTCCAAGCACTCGAGCGAGTGAAGCCTCTTGCTTCCCGCGCTCAGGAATCCCAACCTGGCCGTTGTCAACCAGCACCAAGGCACCGCAAATATTAAACTAACGTGGACCCCTCCCTAAGCACTGGCATGATCTATTTCAACAAAACTGGTGTTTCTCAACATATTGGGCCCATAGCAGGTTTTTTTTTTATTCTTACCTTTTTCCCCAACAGCTGAAAGCTTTGGGGTCTCAGCCCAGATAGGCGCCGGGGTCCGGGGCGGCCCTGAGGTAAGGTTCCAGGGTTCCACCAGGGTTCCACTGCTGGGGATATGACCTGAGCTTATTTGGGTATGGGTCAAAATGAATCCACCAGGGTACCGCAGGTTTTAGTCCATGTGTCCACTTGCCAGGGCAACCCATTTTGGGGTTACCCTATTTTTGACCCGCAGCCATTTCTTGGTTTCCCTTTAAACCCCCAGCTCCCACCAAAAGCGGCACGGGTGTCCCTCGATTCTCGGCACAGGCACCGGGCCTAGCCAGTCGAACTTCAGGCCGCGGCGCGCGGCCTGCAATGACCGTTTCGGGTGGGAATGATGGACACCAAATGGGGATGGATGGTTTAAATCTCGGGGAAGGACTCCATTTCTCAGTGCCTGAGAAGCAGCAAGGAGTTGCAACACCTTCCATTTGATGATACGCCCCCTGGAAACAATGAGTACAAAAATATCCAGGAGTGAAATCGATTCCCTGTAAAACCAGAAAAGGGGGAGAAAACAAAAAAACCATCATCTCAACAAATGGAACCCCCAAACGCAAAGGGAAACCAGAGGAACCCAATCCAAAGTTCTAGTGTGATCCTGGAACCAGGCCTGGAGAAGCAGTGGAATGCCCTCAGGGTCCCAAACGAACCTTTGCCTTCGCTGTGCTGAGGCACACAACTAGATGAATGCAAGCTCCACATTGGCGATTCAAACCGTGCCGCGCCGAAAGGGCGATTTTCAAAGGGAACACTTGAACGGGACATTCCCGTTGCCAAGGTCCCCTTGGTCCATGAAACCTCTAAGGGCTTATCTCTATCTGGTGTCACAATGAGTGACTCTCCAAAATGGATGTCTTTCAGCTGGGCCTTTCCTACAGCCACCAAGAGGGAACAATTCAAAAAAGGGCCTGCCAGCTCATTAAGAATACAATATTCTTCCGATCCGCCTTTTGCTGGCTTGGTCTACCCACGACCAGCCATGTTTCCCAGAGTGGCCAAGGGCAAACTGAGCACTCTGTTTTTGGTGGTTGATTTCCAAGAGAAAACCCTCCAGAAAAAGAACAAGCGGTATTTCCAACAGTCCGGAACGTCCGGAACCCGCCCTGAAAGCGCCAGCACTGATTTCTGGGCCTATCGACCCCAGGGCTTTCAGCTGGGGAGAAAGGAACAAAAAGGCACTGGTTTCGCCATTCGCGGGCCTTTCGTGCTTGATGCGCGATCCCAGCAAATCGGAAAATCGCCATTCCTCCCGGACCTCAATCGGAAGAGGCAAAATGAACCAAACTGGTCCCAAAAGACCAAAGCCCGGCAAGTCCAAAAATATGGCCATGGGTCAAAATCCCGTACCCCCAGTGACACAGTGAACATCCCAATCCCCACTAAAATAGGTTCTAAAATGGGTGGTGCACATACCTCAACAAGGGAATCCCCTCAACAAAGCCGCAGCCATATGGGTCTGAGGCCAAGAAAACGTCTCCCCCCCCCCCAAACGGCCCCAAGACTCGTCTGACTGGCTCTTCCAGCGCGCCTTCTGAAAGCGCTCCTTCGCCTTGTGCGGGTTTGTGCGCCTCGCTGCCTCCGCACGGGGCGAGGAAGCGCCAACGGCTTTCGAGTTGTTTGGCTGTCTTTTTGAGGGGATTCCTATGGTTTCCTTGTGGTGTCCAGTTCAAACCAGCTCAAAGAAACTCTACATGTCTCTACAGACATGCGCACGTCACATTGTGCCAACATGACTGTTTCATCTACGGGCGGGCCTGTTAGCATCTCCACTGCCAGGTTGGGAAGGTCCAGCTTTCGAGTTGTCTCAACTTTCGAAAGGTTGCTCTCCAACTACAAACATGAGAATGAGTGTTCTCAAAAGGCACCTCGCGAGAGCAACGAAGAGCTGCTGCAGACTTCCATGCAAGCTTGCTTGCATTTCACAGCACCTGTCCCGCTGTGGGTAATTCCGCCGCAGGCTCACGTACATCCCGTTGGTCAACATGTATTTTGCCGCGCTCCAGTCGTAGGCACAGATGAGAACCTTGTTGGCGATATCCTCCGTCACCAAGGCCTCACCTCCGGCCAAGCCTTCGTTTAGAACCCATAGGGAAACCACACATCACATTGAGCAATTGGATTTATGTCAGTTGTCTATTGTTATGATAATATAGGAACCTTGGACATATCAACAACCTCCTGAGGTTTGAAAGGGCCCCACATGAAGCAGTCCCGTGCTCCTGCACGTGAAACTGGTCGGACGGCATCCATGCCCAGTAGTTTCTGATGGTAACAAAAGAACTTGCTCTGTTCAATTGGCCGACTTCCTAGGGCAACCCATCAAAAGGAGGGAACAAAGATTCAATTCGAGCCAAACCGTACAATATGAGGGGCCAACAACTATATATACACTTTCTTCTCATATTGTCGTCACGTCTAAGTTTCGGTCTTCAATTGCCATCAACCCCTTCTATAGATACTTAGGCCTTCCTGGATCTGTCCAAACAGGGCCCCCCCAAATGGTGTTGTCGATTTAATTTCCCTTTAGCAAAACCCACCGCATAGCTGGGTGTCTTTTGTTGAGGGGTACATTTTGTTGGTGGTCAACTGAAACCAAAAGCACAACCCTTGCGCCATTTTCGGGGTTTTCTGAAAAAGAGACCCTTTGGAGTTTGTCTCAAATAGAGGGACCCTCAAAGTGTGTGGTTTTCGGGTCTAACCCCCCCCAAAACACAAAAAGCAACCTTCTGAGTTAGTCTCAAATACAAACACCCTCAAAGTGTGTGGATGTCCTTTTGTTCCTAGCAAGAGACACCCAGCCGCCATGTTCTCCCCCTGCCAAAACTGCCAAAACCGCCAAAACCGCGGTGCCTCTGGGGACTGCTGCGGGTGTGGCGTGGGAGGCCGCCATTCCCGGCCTCGTTTTGAGGCGCCAACCGCGGAACCAGGGGATTCTGATGGGTTGGTTTCGCGGGAGTTTTTTCTGGGGAGCCTGTGGGTTTGTCTTATGGGGGGAGACCCCGATGTCGGCTTCCTGGTCGTTTCCCTTAAAGCCAATCAACAAGGGATGCACCCGAAAAAGACACACCCATTTGAGCAGTTTTTTTTGGTGGTTCGAGGCCTATACACTACTTGCATGCCTACGCGAAGGCCTACGCAAACCTACGCGGCCTGCGAGGGGTGCCTACGCGAGCACAAGTCAGCTTCCAGGTGCCTACGCGAATGCCTACGCGGGCAAATGTTGAGTTCGAGTGTCGAAGTGCACTGTGGCAGCTCCAGCTGGAGAATCGCAACTTTTCAGTACAAGTGCAGTTTTGGCAACTCCGGCTCTAAGATCAGAATTGCAGTACAAGTGAGAAGCCCGCATCTGTCCAAGGATCTGGCTGCCAGAAAAGGTGTACGTACCCAAAATGCCTTGAAAGCCTACGCGAATGCCTACGCGGGGCCTACGCGGAGCCTACGCGAAGACTCCAGAACAAACAGAAGGAAGGCAAAAGAAGCAAATTCATTTATACTTGGCAAACAGCACTGAGTCATGATTTGTTCAACAAACGCCTACGCGAAAAGCCTACGCGAGGGGTGACACAACAGCCTACGCGCTGAAGCCTACGCGAGCCTACGCCCCCAACCAGGATTGCCTCCGCAAAGTACATGCAGTTCCCTTTTTGTATAAACCCTTTCATTTGATTAAAAAACGCTGCTCATTTGTCGTTTCAATCATGGTCCATGGACCTTATATCGGAAAGGGGGTGGGGTATCCCTGGATAAGCCGAGCTGATAAGCCAAGTTGATACGCACAATAAGGCCTTGCTAAAAGTTCAAGACCCACAAGTGTGTCCCTCAACTCGAAGCCAGCGCGCGGTCCACAAAATTATCCCATGATAGTGAATGATAGTGACTGAACTTGGCTTTAAGAGTCTTGCGGAACCCCAGCTGCAACATGAACAAACATAAAATTTGGAGCCATTTCCTGCTTGGCGTGACTGCCCGTTGCTCACATTATAACAACCATGGGCCTGTGGTGGGATGGGCCACTGAAAAAAGGAGGTATTGCCGTGGGGAACCCCAGGTTTTTTCAAGTATTCCTGGGGCCCAATACCCCCGCTAGCCTAAACAACCTACAAAAAGAAGACACACCTAAATGATCGGTATATGACGGACAAAAAACAAACACACGCCTCCAACCGTTTATCAATCACCGGGTCACGGGACGTTGCCCCCAAGCCGGCGGCTTCTCGCGCCGGCGCGTCTCTCCGGGCGTCCCGGCGCTGGGCGGTGCGCAGAGGCTCCACGGTGCCCTCCTCGAAGTGGACCAACTGGCGGGGAATTGGATCGATCCGCGCACGCGAGCGCTGCGAACGGGGGCGCGTCCCCCCCGCCCCCTGCTGGGTGCTCCAGATTTGAGAGGCTAGAAGAAGTTGGTACCAACTTTTTTCTGTCTATTTTAGTAGAGGAACCCCCCGCCAACAAAAGGGGGTAAAAGGGCACGGTTTTCGAGGGACACCAAAAAGAAACCCGTTGAGCCATTTTGGGGGGGGGGTCCCCGAATTAGACTTGCCCTCCTTTCAACAAGCATGGAAGTGGACAGTCATTAGATGGTGATGGTCGTCCAAAACCCTGTGAGCTTCCATGGTTGGAGGGTGCACCCAGGAATCTGATTCGCTTTTGTACACACCACCCCCTGGGTTTAAGTCTACCTTGGGGTAGTCAAACAGCCCGCTATGTGGGGCCAAGGACCGTTTGGTCCGTGTTTATCTTCGATTTAGTGGGTTAGCATAAACAAGAAACTTGCTGGCGTTGAACATATCTTCTCTTTTCTTGTTGTGCTTGCATGTTTTTGTGGGGGGCAGTAGACGGCTTGGAAACCAATTGTTTATCTTGTGAGCTGGGTCCATCTTAGTAAGACATGCTCAAAAAGACCCGAGCTAAATGATGTGAAGGAGACCACCCAAAAGCAAAACATAAAAGCCACTCAAGCTGCAACCCAGGCAAGGAACCTGTTACATCCAGGCAATCCAAACACTTCTTCCACATTGCAGTTAATTGCAGCGAAGCCTTTCAGGCCCCGTAAACTTGCATCTATACATATGTATGTATATACATAGACATTCTTTGCTTCACTGGGGTTCATTAATTGGCGAAGAGAAATGCATTCCCACTCTCAGAAGAACACAGTGTAACATGATACTTCCATCGGCCTTAAGCCCCCTAGCACAAAACACATTTCCAGTAGTGATATCCCCTTGAACATCAACAGTTATTGTTCCTTCTAAACGCAAGTTGAGCAACTTGTAGTTTTTGGACGTATCACACGCAGTCCAATCTGCAAACATCACCGGAAGCGAGCCGTGACTGGGTTGGAGCCCTCCTGCAGCTGCTTCCGACAGTTGGCAATGAAGATCCATAGTAGGGTCGCTCTCCCTCTCTCTATACAAACACACATGTTTCCTATGTATGTATGTATCCATGTATGTATAGGTATGTGTATGCGTAGGTGTATATTTGTATATGTGTATGTGTATATATGTATGTATATGTATGTGTATATGTATTATGTTTGTGTATGTATGTGTATGGTTTGCAAGGGTTGCTTTCCCCCATTCAACACCATGGGGGATAGCAGACCAATCGGCCTCAAACTCCTGGGCCGACCGCGAAGTGCGACATCCGAGCGCCTTGTGGTCGGGTGCTGCTTCCTGGCATCGCGCGACCAGCCTTTAAAACCAAAAGGCAGACTGAAACCCAGTGATTTCCCCTTGGAATTCAACCACCTCTGGGTGTAAGTCTACCTTGCAGTAGTCAAAAAGTGGAACCCTGTGGGGGCAAAAAACGAGGCTGTGGGGTAAGTAATTAAACAAATTGTGACAGGATCACGGGAGAGTCATGGAAGTCCTTCGTGGAGGCACATGATGCATAAACCCCTCCCTCCCCCTCGTCAAGGTCGACAAGGTCCAAGAAATCTGGATTTTGAAGGGGTTGCAAAGAAGCCCTCGAGTTCATCCGTCCAGTCCTCGCAGGGCCAGGAATCAAAGGGGTCGTATCTTATTCGGGTAGGGGAGGGCTGGCCTTGAAAGGGGGGGCGGGCCCTATACGAGCTGGTCAAACCTCGCTCGTTTGAACAAACTGACAATTTGCTGCCTCTGGCTAGCCGTTTCTTTTTGAATTTCTGGAATGGCAGCCTTGAGACTATGAAAGGAGTTAGCAATGACAGTTGGCTAAAAAAATGGGCGTCTTTAATCAGAGGGTTTGTGTTTAACCATGTGCGTGTTTAATCATGTGCTCCTTGTCTGACTTGCCCACATCCTCTTGGCTGATCTCGAAGGGACATCCAAGCCAACAAAAGAACCCATCCCCGCGACAAAAACCAGCCGACCCTAGTCAAGGGCTACCAAAGGAGCCGCTGTGCAACATACGTACACCTCTGGGAGCTGTGCAATTCCAATGCAATGCACCCATCTGCAAACACCTGGGCCTCGTTGTTTTCTTTTGCTTTTGACCCTCGGCGGGGCGACCACTTGTGAAAGGCGGGGTAGTGGCCCTTCAAAGTCGCCCAAGCACTGGCCGCTGGGCTTGAACAGATCTGGGATGTCCCACAGAATTGGCGGCACAGTGCCTGGGTTGCTCTTCTCTGAGCAAAAAGTCTTTCTCAACAGGTTGAAGGGCCGAAGGTCCCAGCCATGGCAATGAATGACATTTTGGTCTGTGAAGGTTCCCCTGAATCAACAATTGACGGTAGTGAATGGCAGGGCCTCAAAAGCAGCGCTGCTGTGCAGGGTGGATTCAAAACATACGGCGACTTTACAGCTTCAAGCAGGGTTGCTTACATGTCCACTCCAAACATCCCACCACAAAAACGATCACCAAGCTTGCAAAACAAGCACCCTCCCACCAACTAACATGGAAGCGCAAAAAGGCCCTTTCCAGGAGGAATGTAGTCTTTCCACAGGGGTTTGCTCACTTCCATGTTCGCTGGCAGCCAGCCAGGCTGATAGCCCTAAACGCCGCACCCGTTCAAGCTTGTTCTCCACCAAGCCTCCAAGCGGATGGAAGAAGTGACTGCCTCCTGGCCCATCGGGTGCACTCCCTGCAGACATCTGACTGGAACCCCCCGGTCAATTGGGGGTTTCTCAACATAGTCTCAACATAGTCTCCAAAAATGATTGGTTTCCTTGCCTCTTTGAATACCAGCCAAAAGCGCGTCAACAGATTTGCAGAAACACCCAATTGCAACTTAGAGGAAATCCAGCGACCGGCACCTTGATGAGATTCCGTGGGAGAGTGTAAAATGCACATGCGCAGCTGAGTACTTTAAGCACAGCAAATTATGGTACTCATCCTGCAATTAGAACAGAGCCAGACTGGTCATGCACCCTGATACGTCTTCCCCTGCAAAACGAGGCTGTGTCAACCTCTGAAAAACTTCAGAACGGCAACAATCGAGAATACAGTTGTCCTTGCTTTCGGCTGATTTGAGGCAACCAAAAGATTCCAACGGATCTCTCGTCCATCACAATAGTAATGAAGTCAATCTATCCATGAACAACCTGTCGCCACTCCCTCGGTACCGCAGCCAGCTGATGGACACAAGTACAAGCTGCCCACAAACAGCAAATCCTCCCTCCATCCTGGAATCCAACAGAAGGCCGCTTCAGGAATATGGCCCGAACCAAAAGCGCAACCTTCATGGGCTACGATGCCCAAAGCCTCTGCCCCAAGCAGCGGGGGAATCCAAGTAACTCCAGCGTGCCGATTTTTACGCATCCAAATTGTCCTCAGAAATATTCCCTCGCAGAAATGACCCAACACACTCAGTCCGATTGGTTGTTCTCCACACTGGAAATCTGGCCTGTACTTGGCCCGCATCTGGGGTACATAGCAAATCAGCCAGCTTCAGTCTACCCCAAATATAGGAACATGTTGCAGGAGACCCGGTTCATTGTGTGCCAAATTGACGCAGGTGAGCTCATCCAGTCGCCCAATTCGTGTGCCCGCGATATTTTCAGGAACCCGTTTTTACATGGTGGTTCCACCGTTGGCTTCCAGCTAATCCATCCCAACAAGAGAACCAACTCCAAAGAGACACACCCACATGACCGCCCTGACAGAAACAGAAGACACTTTCGGGGCCTGCCATAAGAAATTAGGGCGCAGCTTTTCAACTCAACAGGTGAGACCTCTGCTTCTTCCTCCGACTCTCCCGGCGATGTCTCCCCGCTGTCCTCGGCGCCCTGGCGGGTCAAGACTCGCAGAAATTCGCCCGACTTTGGGTTGGACTTCGGGAGTGCTGATGCAAATAAAGATACAACTCGCTGGTCCAAGGAGCCTAAAAAGCAAAAGCTCAACCAGGGTTGCCACGATGACATACTTTCAAAGAGAAAGGTCATTTCAGGTGGCATTTGCTTTATCTTCAGTGCTGGCCTCCTTTAAGTCCTTTTACGTCGAGTTGTTCATGGGACAGTTCCGCGCTTGGCGTCCAGAGGGGATTTTGGATCCCCTCAATTATCGATGCAAGCAAGCCGTCAGTAACATCCCCAAACACTCCGGAACACTGTCACTTGCAATTGGTTTTCGCACAACAGAATTGTGCTTGTATGTTTGATGTTTGTCTATTGTATGAACACCAGTAGGTTTTTTCTAAAACCCAAACACACACACACACACACACACATCTCGCGACACGCCACATTTGCATCTCGGCTATCCTGGCGCATGCGATCGGCGCCTCCATCTCGGGCAGGGAGGCCATCACACCCCGGCGCCGCTTCTGCTTGGCCCAGAGCCTCAGGAGAAGAACCAGCCTAAAGGAATCGGCTGCTAAAAGTCGTGACTTTTCGGGGAGTGACGCCCTTTTCTCTCACTTTAGCATGTCCAGTTGACGGCGAAAGAGCCATGACCGGCTGCAAATGAGCAAAATGTGGCTAAAAGTCGAACAACCTTTGGTGTAGTGGAAAATACCACACCAGCTAAACCCCTAACATGAGCATGGCTGGGAACCACCAAGCTTAGAACCAACGTTAGAACAATCTCAAGGGTTCTTAGGCTCACTGGAGTGCATTTGCCAAACAAGTCCGCACTTCTTATCTACCACTCAAATGGTCTTCCCTAAAACTGTGAAGTCCAGTCTATTAAGCTTTTGAACAAGCACAATCTGGCTGTTCCCGAAGTCTGCTGGTCTTCCCAATGCGTATGGTGTCAATATATGTGCGACCTGGGGTGACAAAAATGATAGTCCTTCTCGGGTCCCGATCCTGCTTTGAAGCCACAACGTGACACCAGGGTTCCACAACGAAGCCCCATTTTAGCTTTGTTTGGATCCTCGCAGTCAACGGAAATATAAGAAGGAACCTCTAAAATGGGTGATTTCCTTTCGGTGCCTCTTTTCACCAACCCCCCAACAGGCTACCGAGCTCCAAAAAACCGGCAGGTTCGACCTTGAGCCTCGCTTGAAGCAAACAAAAGCGACTGACCATCAAAGAGGTGGGCAAAGCATGTTGCGAAGCCGAATTCGACCAGAATCTATGCACCCACTCCATTTTTTAATAAACTAGTTGATTGGAACTAGTGGAACATTGTCGCACCCAGTCAGTTCAGTCTGAACCAAGGTGCAACAGGCACTAGCCTTTTGAAGTGACCACGTTGATTCATGGACGTAGTAAGGGCCAAGAAAAGTAGGATGGAGTTGTGGGGTTTTCCAATTCGGTCATCTTTATGGGAGTATACTAGCAGCATTTCTTTTAGCCCCTTATATCTTTTTGGCTATTACCAGCGCAGTGCCAATTCGCATATCCTGGAAGGAACCCGTGACCCGGTTCATGGCGTCTGAGGGCCAACACCCCCTTTAGCTGGTCTTAGGTCCATGTGGCTCGTCACGCCCCACTGTGCACTCAGAGTAACGAATTAAGCTGCCAAAAGTCACAATCAAAACCTGGTATCTTAAAATACCAAAACGGCAAAGAGTCAAACAGAGCGGACAAACATATCCTAGGTCCTCCAGTAGAGAGGTTCGAATAAGGGTACCAACTTTTTTCTGCAGTCTATGTTAGTAGGGGAACCCAAAGGAACCCTCCCAACGAAAAAATGGGTGAGAAAGGGCACCTAGCTGGGGGTAGTATCTGCGCCCATCGGGTGCCTCTGCGCTAGCGCTGACATTTACTCCGGAGGCTCTGGCAGGAGCTTCGCGGATTGCCGCAGCTCCACCCAGTGCAGACCTCGATAGGGAAAAACCCGGTGGCCGAAAGTGGCCGGAAGGCGAAAAAAGGTGCCATGTCTCGGTTGCTTTCTGCTCCCCTGCTAAAATCTTAACGTTTAGTGGTTTCATGGAAAACCCATGAGTTGGCAAAAAGTTAAAGTCCTAACATCCAAGCAAAATGCAACAAAGATGTGTGGAATCGGGAATTCTGCAGGGACCAGTCGCAACCCGTGAAAGGCGAACAACACTGTGGCTGGGCTTGAAATTGGTGAAGCCACCTAAGGGGAACAAGTGGGTGCACTGAACAACTGGGAAAATGGAGAAAGACCAAACTTGCATTCCCAGAATAAAGCCCGCATGAAGTCGTCAGTGTTGAAGGGAGCACTTCTCGGGGCGTCAACAAGCCGCAAACCTGGAGCAACACGCTTGCATCTTGAAGAGTGGCCGAATCTTTACATGGGTCCTTGCCATAACGCTAAGTAGAGGCCCGACCACTGGCCCCAATGTGTCTGCTTTTCTACCTCAGCTTCTGTCCCGTACTGAGCATGATATGCTTGATGCCGCGTACTTTGTAAACCTCAAAGCAAAAAATAACAGTTGGTCTCAAATTTCGGCACGTTCTTTTTGTCCCCCTTTGGTTTCCAACAAGGGTATCTTCTAGCGTATCCCAAAAAATCACACACACACACACATTTCCACATGCCCTTGATGGTGCATGAGCCCGCGCAGTGGAGTGCCCATGACCTTCAAAGTTGCAATCCCAAAAATGCTTGAGGACCATCCCGGTCAAGCCCCAAATGGGTGCGAATTTCAATTGGCGACCCTCGGAAAATCATTCAGGGTGGGAATTCATGTCCACAAAACATTGGGAAGGTATTCCTCATCAACATAACCCAAATCCCTAGCTGACACAAATCACCAAACAACCATCATGTTCCAAACAACGCATTGCACACTTGCACAGCTGGGTTGTCTTAAGATTAGGGATCCCCCGAACAATTCTGGTTCTTGGTTTCCCCTTCCCAAAAACGTTCAGGTTTCCAACGAAAGGCCAGGGCTTCATTTCTCGGGCCGCCGCTGGCCCGGCGCCGCGCCGGCGGGTTCTCCGCAAGGTGCAGCTCCTGGGTTCGGCCAATTTCCGGCGGTGGCTCGAGAGGTGCTTCCCTGGAGAAACCAGCTGGCTCAAAAATAGGGTAACCCCAAAATGGAACCACTGGTAAGAGGAAACATGGACTAAAGTCTGCAGTCCCCTGGTGGTTTAATTTTGACCCACACCCAGTTGCTCCCAAGCGGAAGGTTGCCAAAGCCCAGAAAACAGCTGTCCTACTTACCTTGCGAACACACACACTCGGACATCGGCACAATAGCCCAAGCACAGCTTAAGTATATATGTTCAATCTGCGGTTCGCATGGTAAAGACCTGCTTATTTTTAAACCAGTCCCAGCCCTGCGGCCCGCCTCCTCGTCTGAAATCGAGTTGTCACGCGCACCTCCAGCCCGGTTCGGTGAGTTATTAGCGCCAATGGACCAGCGCCCCAGAGGTTGGAATGTCTGGTTCCGGATCTGTATTTTCAAGGGCGCCCGGGTGCCCTTCTTTGGGGGTCGGGTTTGAGGGGAAAAACCAATGGGTAACCACCGATTGTACGGGTTCCTTTGTTTAGAGACAAGCCCACATGTCTTCTTTGTAAAACAGCCGAATGACCGACTTGAAGTGGAGGCAAAGAAAGGCTTCTTAGCGAACGCGGCTGACCCTCCCCAGGAAGTCAAACTCGCTTGGGTGGAAAGAAGGCTCCTGGTTCAAACCCAGGCGGTTGCGGTTTCAGCTCATACAAAGACAAGTCAATGTTTCAAGGTTTTGGACATGTCAGGGTTCCACTTTGAAGGGTGATGATTACCATGATTACCCCTTTCCTGGCCGTTCTGCCAACACTGGCGCCCACAAGGTTGGCAAAACCAGACAACCCCCTCCCCCTCCCCAATGCTTTTACTTGTTAAGGGAAGGAGCGCTTTCCCTTCACTCCCTGACCCTTGCGGGCTCGGTACCTTGATCGAGTCAAACTCCCCGGAAACGATCGAGCCTTGCAGCGCGGATGGTTTGGAAGGGAAGCCAAAAGCAAATCGAACCTCTAGAGGTACCTTCCCCATCCTTTCCAGGGGTCCTTCTTTCTAGAAAATTTCCGGAAACCCAGGAAGAATGGCCGGTTTTCTGAAAGAACGATGGTTGAAAAGAATGGGACATCAACCCCTAGAGAACCATCTCCCACCACCCCACACCCAACTTTGGCCAACTCACCAGCACTGGGCGGCCCCACGCATCAGCGAAGGGTTCAGGGAGGGCCTTTGGCCGCTCGCTGTGCCCTATCAAGTTGGACCCAAGAAGGCTTCTAAACGTTCTCATTTGCCTCGTGGACCAGTGCCCATATTTGTCTCGAAAATTCATTTGGATCCCCTTGATTTGGATCCCCTTGATTTGGATCCCCTTGGACCTCTGCATCTCACAAAATGTCCAAGCACTTCTTGCGAGGGTCCAACCTGTGCTACAGCCAGCAGTGAAAGTGTCGAAAGGCACTCCGTGAGGGGCGAACAGGCGAACGGGATGCTTTTCGCAGCGGACAAATTCAAGTCAGAATGGAAACCGCAAGTGTCTGGTCCATGAACTAGTGGATGTGTCCGAAAAGCGCTGAAGAAATATGTTTGGCTCTAACATGGCCTTCCCAAAAAGTATCACGGCCGTGTCTAGGGAATCCGCCGTGCCACTGTGCAACTCCCGGCTTCTGCTGCACTGACTTGGCTATTGGAGATGGAGGAGCGGAATGCCCCCCCCTCACCCCACCCACCCACCCACCCACCCACCCACCCACCCACCCACCCACCCACCCACCCCGCACCGCCTCTCCACAAAGGGAGCAGAGTTCCCAACTAAATGGGCTCACGAAGCGGGGCTTTGGAAGAAAAAGCGATTGATTTGTTGGGGCTCAAACGATTTTGATCCATCTGTCAAAGGGAGCAGCTCCTCATGAATTGGCTGGATCAAAACGCTCCCTCTTCTCGTAGAAAGCGGGGCACAAACACTCGGGCGCGCCAGTTGTGGGGGGCCATGGTTGATTTAATCTCCCCATGTGAATAACTCCAACAGCTCGCGCAGTCAATCGCAAAGAAAAACCAACAGGAATCAAAAAACATACTTGCAATAACATACCTTGCTCATATGTTCCCGAGGATGTTTATTTGTGCGTTGGGTGGTGTTTTTGTTTGGATTTCGGAAGGATGGGATATGAGCTGCCGCCAAACTCCTTATGTGCGAAACTGGAATACCTCTCTCGTTTTATAGACTCGCCTTCGTGATTGGGGGTGTTGGAGCCTATTCCAGTCCACTACATATCCCTTGTGCGGACCTTTTCAGTGGTAGCTCATAATTTAAGCCGGACCTGCTTCTGAGAATCAGCATGACACGAGTCATGCAAGTTTCCCCACACACGGGAAGCACTCTCATGGTCGTGCTTGCCTTAGGCCGGTAGGAACCCTTACAATGGCTGTCCACGATTTCCAAGGGGTTGATGACCATCCTTACCAAGCCCAAGTACGGAGGCTTTGGACCCTGGCAGATATGTTTCACGGCACCCATATGGGTACATCCACATAGGGGGGTTGGAATCTGCCCACACAAAATATGCACCCAAATATTGTCAGCGTCTATGCCCAACGCTCCGAAGCCTGCATGTCAAAACCCCTTTCATCGAGGCCAAGCTTTGTTTTGTTGCCAGGCGGCGCCATCTGCGAGCTGGCCGTCAGGGAGGAAGTGCTAGAAGCGCCCTGAACCGGCGTGCTTCCAGTTACCCTTGTGGTGACCACGGGAAACCACCATGTAAAATCCACTACAGGGGCAAGTGGCAGCACTGGGCGACAGGCAGGGCAAAGCATCACATGGAGAATGTGGATTGTGACGCCTGGTGAATGATATACAGAAGAAGCGAAGCATCATTGAAAAATTGGATTGTGACGAAGGGCAATCGATATCAAAACCCACCAAATATGTGACATGTGTTGCACTATATCTGGTTGCAAAGTAAATGACATGCTTGGGCCATAAACTCAAAAACTGTAAGCTCAACGGACACACAAACTAATGGTCATCTTCAATGCCAAGAAAGGAAGGACACACCCCGCACAAACACAAACAAACACACACAGACACACAGACACACAGACACACAGCACACAGACACGCAGACACACAGACACACAGACACACAGACGCACAGACGCACAGACGCACAGACGCACAGACGCACAGACGCACAGACGCACAGACGCACAGACGCACAGACGCACAGACGCGCAGGCGCAAAGACGCACAGACGCACAGACGCACAGACGCACAGACGCACAGACGCACAGACGCACAGACGCACAGACGCACAGACGCACAGACGCACAGACGCACAGACGCACAGACGCACAGACGCACAGACGCACAGACGCACAGACGCACAGACGCACAGACGCACAGACGCACAGACGCACAGACGCACAGACGCACAGACGCACAGACGCACAGACGCACAGACGCACAGACGCACAGACGCACAGACGCACAGACGCACAGACGCACAGACGCACAGACGCACAGACGCACAGACGCACAGACGCACAGACGCACAGACGCACAGACGCACAGACGCACAGACGCACAGACGCACAGACGCACAGACGCACAGACCCACAGACGCACAGACGCACAGACGCACAGACACAGACACACAGACACACAGACACACAGACACACAGACACACAGACACACAGACACACAGACACACAGACACACAGACACACAGACACACAGACACACAGACAGACACAGACACACAGACACACAGACACACAGACACACAGACACACAGACACACAGACACACAGACACACAGACACACAGACGCACAGACGCACAGACGCACAGACGCACAGACGCACAGACGCACAGACGCACAGACGCACAGACGCACAGACGCACAGACGCACAGACGCACAGACGCACAGACGCACAGACGCACAGACGCACAGACGCACAGACGCACAGACGCACAGACGCACAGACGCACAGACGCACAGACGCACAGACGCACAGACGCACAGACGCACAGACGCACAGACGCACAGACAGACACACAGACACACAGACACACAGACACACAGACACACAGACACACAGACACACAGACACACAGACACACAGACACACAGACACACAGACGCACAGACGCACAGACGCACAGACGCACAGACACACAGACGCACAGACGCACAGACACACAGACACACAGACACACAGACACACAGACACACAGACACACAGACACACAGACACACAGACACACAGACACACAGACACACAGACACACAGACACACACACACACACACACACACACACACACACACACACACACACACACACACACACACACACACACACACACACACACACACACACACACACACACACACACACACACACACACACACACACGGGGGGGGGGGGAGGGATTTACATGCAATGCTCGCAGGTCCTGACGCACTGCCCTGTCGAGCGTTTCCCGCAAAAACAATTCGGAAGCACAGGGGCTCTTCCCTTTTAATCAAGTTGAACACCTGCATGCTGCACGGAAAGCGCATGACAACAAATGGGTTTCCCGGTTTTACCCACCCCAAAAATGACAGAAGAAAGAAGAGGTACAACATATAATAACCTCCAGGCAGAATGTAGGAAAACATCATGTACCGACCAAGCATGTCCCCGCCCGTGCATGCATGATACATCCATACTGTGAATGCATAAACTCTTGCACCAGTTGGCAGGTGGTTCATCCCAGAATTCACTGGCTTTCATGCATCCCAGCTGGTGAGGTTTTTGTGTGTCTGTCCAAACGGGGGCAACGGCCAACATAAAACCGTGGAAGCCTGACATAAACGGTAAACGACGACGTCGCAGCCAAAAACCAGTTGCTGTCCAAGCTTCGCTCTTGCTGCTCTTGCTGCTCTTGCTGTCGTCGTCATCGTCGTCTGCGGATACTGGGAGGACCAAACTGTGCCCCAAGCATCGATAGGCCTGTGGTTCAACGCATTCTGTTCAACTGCCATGTTTCACTATTGTCGGGCATAGGAAGCAGATAGGTGGCCGATGCAGTTGGAAACTGTGCGAGCAGCGCGCACGCACAAATGCAAGCACGCCCGCACGCACGCAGCGCAGCGCAGCGCAGCACAGTGCAGCGCAGCCCACGCACGCAAGTTTTCACTCACCCACGCACACGCACACGCACACGCACACGCACGCCCACACCCACACACACATACACACGCACACACCCGGTCATATAGTGTTTCGGAACACCAAAGTCGTCGCCAACAGTTCGAACAGGCGGCAGACTTTATATTCGTCGAGTTCAAACATGAAGGCTGAGGGAATGCTTTCAGTGTGTGTTGAGCGAAGTTGGCGCCCTTTGCAGGGTTTAAAGGGAAACCAGAAGGAACATCCACCCATGTTGGCACATCCTAAGTCAGACACATACCAAGATGGAACCCCTCCGCACTCAACACCAGCCATTCCTAGCAGCATCTTGGGAGCAGACCACGTGGAATGGACAGCCCTTGATTGATAAAAAGGGTGGGATCCTTCACTTTGTGCGAACGCCAAACTGATTTCTCAGACTAAAACCTGGTCGACATTGGCTGGAGAAACAAACCAGCGTAACTAATAGCTCTCCATTTCTGTAATAACAAAGTGGTTGACTCCAATTTCGCATAACCGGAGGACAGCGGCAAAGAGCTTCGCATCTGTCGCACAGAGAACCATTCGAAATGGAAGATCGCCTCTTTCCCTGTTTTGATTTCAGTCCCCAACAACAACTCACCTCGAACGAGTGGATTGGCCCGAAAAAGTTTGAACTTTTGGCGTCTCATCAACCTGGTCTTGCAGTGAGCCAAACATGTTCCCTGCTGCTTAGCCACCGCATTGTCTGTCTGAAGGTCTCAGCACCAAACGAAACACAGTCCATCGTCTTGGAATTTTGAAGCAGGTTGAGTCAAAAAAAAACATTCCGAAGACGAAGAAAGCACTTCAGAAGGGACCCGGACAGGGCGTTGGGCGATTTCATGCCTTACAACTCTCATTCAATCCGTCAAAAGGACGGATTGCCACGATTCCAACCGACCAACCAACCGAGCAGCTTGTTGTGCCATTCAGCGCGCTTACGTTGAGACATCTGATGGAAGCTGCGCTGATGCTTGGGCATGATTCCAAACGTGACACAAACTGCACAAAATTGGTCGAACCCGCGCAAAGCAGAATCCAAGAAGGCAGCTCAAAACGGAAAATCCTGTATGCGGAACGCTATCTTCTTTGTGATGTTTTAAAAGGAAACCAAAAGGACACTTGCTAGACATTTAGGGGGTTTCAAATTGCGAGAACGTCCCTCTTGTTCATGCCATGATCATGCCCGATTTCTTCCGCGGTTTACCAACCCACATGGGGCATAGCCTCGTTTGTAAGGATGTGGTATGAACATCCTTTGTCGGGTACCCCAATACAACCCTTTACAACACTGGTACCTTCCATGGGAATGTTAAGGGGTACTAGTACATGGTACAAACCTCCCAGTGTCAAGTTTTTCTGCTGAGGCTTCGACCTCTTGCAGACCTCATTGCACCGGTCCGAAACCTTCCGACTTGGCCTCAAACCACAGGACCCTCAAACTCGGGCGGTGTCCGTTTGCTCCCCTTTACGCTGAAGGATACTGTCCGAATCATGGGTTGATCCCAAAGCCCCGTAGACAATTGGAACCTGGTATAAGCAACCAACCCGGGCTGCCCTCGGATCCCTCGCTAAAAGTTTAAGTTTTAGTTTAAATGGAAACTACCACTAAACACTAAAGGCTAGAAAGCTAAGGAACCGGATGGCTGGGAGCCACCAAGCAACTCACTGTCAGTTGAGTCTTTCAAAGGCTCGGAGCAACCCAAGTGTCACAGGCATATTGGCAGCGGCAAAACCGCCAAACGGAACTATGGCACAACACGAGATTGCTGTTGCACTGGATTTTGCCAGGGTAATTTACTGGTGGCGTCCAATTTAACACCCACTTTTGGAGACCACGCAAGGGAAACTGAGGGATTATTGTGCGATAAATCCTTTAACCCCCAAAGAATCGCTGACCATCCTGACACTGAAGGCAACCTGGAATTGTGAATATTCAAAAGGGGAGGCTGCAAGAAGCCCGTCCATCTTGGAGGGGTCCATCTTGGAGGGTCCCTTCAGGCGAGAATTGGAAGGAAATTTGTCTGAGTACTAGCCAGTCGGCATCAAACATGAGCCGCCTGTTCATCATAAATTATCTTCCTGACATTCACAAGGCCTGGCACAAGACTATTCGACTGCGTATGGTCTGGAAAGCGCCAAGATCTTGAGGGGTTGCACGAATTCGGGACAGGGACTTCATTTCAAGGGTTCCCCGATTTTTGGGGACCCACCCACATTCTCAAAACGATCCAGGAGTCGCTTCCTTTCGATCTTAGGCACCGGGCCCTCGAGAGCCGGGCTTGATCCTGGGACGGCCACATGGATGTCAAGGGAACGATGGCGTTGCCCGTGGTTTCTCTTGAAAACCAATCCAGAGCGGGATTCCAAAACGGAGTCCTTGAGGGTACCTGATTTGGTGAACACGAAAACAAGGACAACCGAAGCCATTTGGGGTTGCCAATTCCATTGTCCCCATGGACCTAATCCCGGAGTTGACTTCCCCTTACAGTCCTAAGCAATTGCCAAAACACGACCTGTGTCCTCATTCACTTTCATGGAAGGGAGGTCTCCAAGTCTAGTTGTCTAGTCCTCCTTACACAACTGTCGATAACTCCAGGGATCAATTCCATGTTTCGAGCGGATGGGGATACGAAAGCACGCGAACAAGGCAGGGAAACAGCCAATGCAACAAGAAGGACTTTGCAAATCCCCCAAGGCTCTCCGACTGACAAAGCTGTTTCTAACTTCCCGTGAGTGAGCGGTCTCTTTCGATGGCCTTCCGCAGTTGACATTTGGCATGAATTGATTGGAGGTCTTCTTTGCTACTCCATACCTTGCTATTAGGGAGCGCTTCCCTTAGACATCCCCTACAAGAGGTCACGTTCAGTCACTTCGACGCGCGTTAAGTCACAGCATGGCCACGCGCTCTCGCAGTGTTCGGCACGCTTTGCAGCAAAACCGCTGTTGCGGAAGAAAACAAACAGTGTTGTCAGCTAACACTCAGCGAGCAATTGAGTCATCATCAAAACCTGGTGTTGAAATGGTCTACCCGAAACCATGCAAAAATACAAAAACAAACTAAGAAGGCGGCCGCAGCTATTTATGGTTGGGATTGTCCCTTACTAACCTTCATCTTCCCGAGTTTGATTGTGGCTCAATTGACGACTGTGTGTGTGTGTTTGCATCCAAAGGCCCTGCCTGTTTCTGGTTTCTCAACTTTTGAGATTGAATGCCAGCTGCGGGAATGCTGGCCAAAGTGCATCCCACACCTGAGGAAAAAGAGGTTTCAGCCAACATAAAGCAGGCAGTTGATTCATGTCTTCCTGCGTGTTGGCCGCAACACCGAAGCCCGTGTTTGTCCAGCAAAATGCAGTCCGTTTGTTAAGCTCTATAAATTGTGCCCTTCAACATCCACCAGGGGTTGACTTCATCAACCGGGTTCCTGCAGAAGGTTCCCTTGTGGCTTGCCATTGAACACCTCCAAATGGGGTCCCATATTTCTAGATGCTGATCCCCCGTTCTTTTCACCCACGGCTCCTTCGAGAAACTACTAAATCCACACCTCGAGCGATACCCTGAAAAGAAGGATTCCCGGAAAGAATGGGGGGAAAGCTAGAATGTAAGAGCCTCTCTGCTGAGCCCAGCCACCAATCGAAACCAACACACGCACACACACTCTCTCACACACCCAATGGCAAACCAGAAGAACAACCATTTGCGGGGTCCCTCTATTTTGACACATGCTATAATCCCCCCCCCCCTTCGAGAAACTTCGCCACATCTGTCTGCCAAACTCAAATGGCTTGGACACGAGCGGGCGCAATCCGAGCCAAGCTGCGGCGGCAGCGAGGACACAAAGGAGCCCAGCACAGAGTTGTCCTACCAAGTGCCAAGCAACGCGAGTCCACCAAAAGGGCCCTCTTTGTTTGACCGCTGTCACCAATACCTGTAGGTTCATGAGCCTAAGAACGCAGGTTGGGGGGGGAGGTTCGACAACCCGAAGAGCACTGACAAAAGGCATGGAGTTAGAAGAACCGATTATTTTTCGCGACGAGCTCCTACCCCACGGGTCCAAGTACCGTTTTAGGATCACTTGCCTGTCTTCTGAGGGGATCTTATTGGCACAACACCATGGATATGATTTCGCGCCGCTGAATTCTTCACGTCTCAATGCGAAACACGGATGGCTTCGGGATGCTTCGGGATGGAACATCGGCAACACACGCGGATCGAAGGTCCTATTTTCAGCTCAAGCTCTGGTGCCTTTCATGGTTCGTTTGAGGGCGGCACGACAGGGTTAACATCTCCCAAATTCGCCGAGCCTTTTCTCCAATCCTATGGATTCATGAGGTCCTTTAAACGAGGGTCAGACAAAAGGCCCTCCCCCCTCCAAAAGAAAAGGAAAGAAAGAGACAAGTAGCTCATGGTGGCTCATGCTGTTTTGAACCCTAGTATGGCTGAGGCTGAGAAAATCACACTCCAAAATGGCACCCAGGGATATATGGAAACAACATGAAACAAACCCTGAAACCTGCGAGCCACCCAACCTGCTTAATCTTGCACCCCCCCCAGCGTCCCCGCCCGAAGAAGCTTCTAAGAACCCTTTTGGCTTGTGAGGCCCTGGGTTTTTCATTTTTCCCCTAATGAATCTTCCCACTCAAACATTACACCCAACAAGGGGACCCCCCAAAACGGGTTTCCTTTTGGCTTCCAAAATAAACGTGCCCGTCCCCATACCTTCCTCCGAGTCTGAGTTGATCTCTGAGGTAAGACGCTGCCTCGGACGCCGATTGAAACCAAACCCCCAACAACGCAGCCAGGCCAAAAACCAAAAACATGGGACATCTAGCATGAAGTATAGGGAAAAGGTTGTGAGATAAATATTATTGTCGCTGGAGATGGACTACAGTAGCTCTGTCGGTCTCGAGGACACACAAGGATATTAGACTTTGACTAATCATGGACAACTGAGAAAATGACATGCGGAATTCTAGCAAAGGGTCATGGTTTAGTGACACCAATATTACCATGTTGCACAGTCTGCAACGCAACTCATCGGCGTTGTTCCTTTTTGTATCGGTATGGGCTTGTCTCTAAGTGAGGGACCTCCCGAATGGACCAGGGTACCATTAAACGAAAGCCACTATACAGGCTCCCGCTGTCCTCAACTACAAACAAGCGGCTCCTTACAAGTCATGGGCAAAACGCACTATCTAGGCCTTCCCAAAAAGGTCAAAGTCCATGAGCTCAGGAAGTCTGGGCTGCCCTCAGATCCCTTGCTCAAAGTTTAACTGAGAGCCACCAAGACGTGAGATGACTGGTCAACCAGAACAAACAAAACATCATCCGTTGGCACAAACAAACCACCATCATGGTTGAGCTCGTGGCTACTCTCGGTTCAGTGAATAGTAGTTGCCAGTCCCTGGGATCTAACTTCTATATCTGAGTGACGAACTGCTCCATGACCCATGGCACATGGTCAAACACCTGGTGGACCAAAGTTGGTCACTTTGTTGCATGACCGTCATGATGTTCCAGACAGCGAGAAAAAAGCTTGGAAAGGCTCCTGGATGGTGGAATGGTGGATTCCATGTAGAACCCAGCGCTGAGTTGCCAGGTAAAAAAAAAGGCCATGGCAAAAGCTCCGCATTAATCAGAGGTTTCCTCTTAGTTGGCTTGTTCTGGTTGAGTGGCAAGTGGACTGGCTTTGCCCTTGCCATTTGCCCCATCCGAAAGGGCATCCCATTCCAGAAACGCTTCATGCCGCGTGCCAAATGTGCGTGTCTCTTTGGGGGCCCTTTGAAAGGGTTTCCGGCAGAGAAGTCCTTTGAATTCCCATCAATCCGATGGAGTAGGATCGCGCGCCAAAAAACACCTCACCAACCAGCGAAAACTCCCGACAAAACGCGTGGCGTGGACGCGTGCGGCTGATTTTCGGCCATTTGGCACATAAGTCCACACACGCCTTGTCAAAGGCCCCTATGTGGACAAACTAAAAATAGGAAGAGACCAAGGCAGCCCTCAAAAGACGGGGACTAAGTCTCGGTTGCTTTCTGCTCCCCTGCTAAAAGTTTACCTTTTGGTGGGTTAATTTGGAAAACCCGTTTGGCGAAAAGTTCTTCAGTCCTAACATCCCTTGGCAAAATGCACCAAAGGTTTCTAAGGGTTGTTGTGGGGGGGGGGGTGGGGGAAGGTTTGCTTGGGGGTGGGGGGTGGTCCTTTGGGGGCTAGGGGGGCGTGCACCAAAGAAGTGAAAACGCGCAGATCAAGACCGCGGCATCTGGGTGGTGTGGTCGTAGATATGGTCCAGGATCCTCCGCAGTGCCTGTGCAACCGTTCCATGGTCGGCGGTGGTTCCTTTAACCCTCCAAAAAGGGGGCTTTCTTATGTCAAGATAGGGCCACTTGATCGGCCATAACAAGCTGGCAAAAGAAGAAACCTAAAAACAAGTTTCAGGTTTGCCAACTTGAATGGAACCTCGCCTTTCCTCTCTTTATCCTCTCCTTCGAGTGAGTTTGAGGGGTCCTTTACTGGAGGATCTCTGGATTCACCCAAATCGAAACTGCGGCAGGTCCAAAGAAGCAGAACACCAAAGCCCCAGGGCCTGTCCTCAGGCCACTGTGGTTCTCCCGTGTTTCTGGCAGGCTTGAGTTTCACAAGCTCCGTGGGAAGGCAAGTGCCAGGTTTGGTCTCCTAGGTCCTCCAGTAGAGAGGTTAGAATAAGGGCAGCAACTTTCTTCTGTAGTCTATTTTAGTAGGGAAACCCTCCCAACCAAAAAAAGACGGGTACAAGCTGGGGGACCCAGTCTCCTATAAAAAGGGCCGTACATCCTTGCGGTGCCCCCTGAAAACGAACTAACCGAAACAGCTTGCGGGCGACCAGCTACCGAGCAACAAGCAACAAGATCTCGCATTTGAGCCAGAGAAACCTGTTCACCCGGAATTTATCAGGAAGCCAGCCAACGAATGAAACACTACCGCTTCACCCACAAAAAAAACATGGGGAAAAACAAGGCAACCAAGGAAAGTCAACCTTGTACCACAAAGCAACGACGGGAAACACACAGGAAACATTTGAGAGCAAGCCACACAGCGGCCAAACGCTGGTTTTGTAGTTTTTGGGTACATTCAAGCAAGGCCCTCTAAATTCGTTTGAAGCCGAGCTTCCAGAGTTCCCACAACAACAGGTAATCAGGTGTATACCATACTGGAAGCTGGCAGCACGGTTGGGCCGATTCTTCACATGTTTAAACCTATATTCTTTGAGCAGCCTTTTGGTTTCCCTTGAGGCGACCAGGGGTTGGGATGCTTAACCACGTTTGGACGGCTCGATTTTTTTGTTTTTGAGTCGGTGCCTTTTGTTGGCTTTAAACGGGACACCACGAGGAAGCCATTTTGGGGGTCCCGGGTTCCCAAGAAAAGACGAGCCGCCCCAGGCCTCCGTTTCGTTCAAAGCGCTTCGCCGCTTCGCCCAGGCCTCGAAGTTGAACACCAGCTGCTTCTCTGAAGCCGTGGGCAAGGGCTGGCGGCACGCCAAGCGGCTCTTGTCCTCGCGGCTGGGGCATTTGGGCCGGGCATCTGCGCTTTCTGGGAGAATCAACAGGGTACTACTACTACTACTACTACAACTACTACTAGTACCACTACTACTACTACTACTACTACTACTACTACTACTACTACTACTACTACTACTACTACTACTACTACTAGTACTACTACTACTAGTACGGCCAATTCCCATCGTTCGCCCGGCCGCCTAACGACCGCCCAGATGCCCCCGCCCCTGCGTGCCGCCGGCCCTGTTTTCTCAGGATCATTGCTCCGGATCAACATGTTTATACAACTTTGTCAGGGCCGAGGGCTTCAAGACGTCAGCAGGACGCAGACCCACAAGCCTCCCTATAGTCAGCCTTAGCGCGGAGGACGCGCTGTGTTCCGCACTGCCGTAGCAGGGAAGCAGCACTCATTGCCTGGGGGGTCCAAGGTTAAACCCTAAACCAAGAAACCTAAAAGAAACCCTAAACCTAAAAACCCTAAACTGTGCCTGGGGGGTCCAAGGTTAAACCCTAAACCAAGAAACCCTGAAAGAAACCCTAAACCTAAAAACCCCTGCGCAGCCGAGCCTGGCTGTTGCTCTTGGGCTAACGATGGGCGTTGAAGGTACTAGTACTACTACTAGTGCTACTACTACTACCGCTACCACTACCACTACCACCACTACTACTACCACTACCACCACTACTACTACTACTACTGCTACCACCGCTACCACTACTACTACCACTACCACTACTACTACGACTACCACTACCACCAGTACTACTACTACTGCTACTGCTACTACTACTGCTACCACTACCACTACCACTACTACTATTACTACTGCTAAAGGGTGAAAAGGAAGCCAACCCCCCCCCTCCCGGCACCCGCCGGTTTTCACGGTTGGGGCATTAGGTGGGTGGCTTGAAAAGGAAACAATGAAAACACACACACACACACCATTGTGAGCTCGGGCTCCCCTTGAACCAAGATGTTGCAAAACCCCGAGATCTTTCACGAGTCCTGCGTGTATTTTTTGCGGGTCTCGTGAAATCAAATTGGGGTAGGCTTCACTGGGGCCGAGGAACCTTGACCTGTGGGCGCCTTGCCCCCTGGACCAAAAGGAAACTCAATGGACCAAAAGGTTAGGCACCCCAAACAAGACATATATGAGGAGCCCTTCAACATCCCTTCAACCATGGATTGAACCGCTATTGCTTTCGCAGCATCCTGTTTGTTTCCCTCAAAAGGGGAGGCAAAGCCGGGCTTTTGCCTGAGAGTCCGAAAGACAAAGAGAAATCCGTGACATCCGAAAGCTTTGATTTCACTTTCGACACCGAAAGGGATTCCCAAGACCATGTAGTTGTTTGTTTTCAAGAGGAAAGCAAACTACCATGGTTTCAGCAACAACAACAACGAAATTGGTTAAACGTGTTACATGATCATCATAACACAGCAAATGATTTGGAAACATGAATTACAAGGAATCAACCCTCATCGTCCGAATTGAATTTTGGAGGCCCTCATGATTCATGACTAGGGGGGTGATTCCCTTTCAGCCGCCACAAGGATGTTGCAGGTCAAGTAGAATGAACCAATAAGAACTGGACCACAAGAAGCGAGCAAACGTCGCTTCCGTGCACATGATGTCTCAGAAACCTCGACACCGCGGGAAACCAGGCATGTCTCAAAAGGCACAAACAACATCCCGGAATTCCCCATTGGAAATCAACTGAAGTCTGAAGTGAATGCGGGTGCGTCCTTGTTTTGCCCCCCCCCCCCAAAAAAAAAACTTTCGTGTGTCCTGGTGGTTTCCCTTTAGAGCCATGAAAACATTAAAAAAAAAAAAAACATGCCCAAAAGGTGGGGTCTCCTACTCAAAAAAACCCTTCTCTTAAAAAACCATCCCCAACAAAGTGGGGCTCCAACTAAAAAAAACAACCCTTCTCTTAAAAACCATGCCCAAAAAAAGGGGTCTCCAACTAAAAAAACGACCCTTCTCTTAAAAAAAACATCCCCAAAAAGTGGGGTCTCCAACTCACAAAACGACCCTTCTCTTTAAAAATAAAAAACACATCCCCCAAAAAATGGGGCTCCAACTAGAAAACCGACCCTTCTCTTAAAAATCATGCCCAAAAGGTGGGGTCTCCAACTCAAAAAACGACCCTTCTCTCAAAAACCATCCCCAAAAAAGTGGGGCTCCAATTAAAAAAAACGACCCTTCCCTCAAAAACCATGCCCACAAAGGTGGGGTCTCCACCTCAAAAAACCACACACCCCTCAACAACAAGGGCCTCGGAGAAAAAACAAAAAAACACACCCCTCCCACATAAAAAAAAAAAAAAAAAAAAAAAAAAAAAAAAAACAAGGCAAGGGGTCTCCAACTCAAAACAGACCTTTTGCCACCCAACTCCTTCTCGCCGTTTCCGCCCCGCCCCGGCGTTTCCGTTTCCCGCCCAACGAAGGCCTGGGACCACCTGGCGCGGTTCAGCTCCGCGCGGCGCTGGGCGGCCTCCCGCAGCAGCTCCCCGCTGAACTCCTGCGAGATCCTCGGGACGTCGGCAGGCGCGCCTCTGGGTCGCCTCTGTCTGGGTCGGTTTTCGGAGGCCAACTTTATGCGGAAAAGCCCGCCTCTGGGCCTTCTGAAGCCATTAAATTGATTGATTTTCTTTTTTAAAAAAACCTGCACCTGTCGTGGTTGATTTGTGTCTTTTTGTTTCTTTCCCGGGGGAGGGAACAGAAAGGACATGCACATTGTTTGCCCAAGGGTACCCACCGGTTTTTTTGGCGGCGGGAAGAATATAGAAAGGCAACCGATGCCAACTTGTAGTTCCCAACAGCCTCTAGATGTTGGGATACAATCTCTCTAGCAGGGTTGAGTGGCGCTGTTGCTTTCAGAATGTTTGAACATGCAACGGTGCGATCCGGAACGGGGTACACAATCCGGAGCCGGGGGGTTGTTTGGGGTAGCGCTGCTTGTTATGAGAAGTTTTGCACCTTCAAAGGTTGGTTGGGGGGTTGGCGGTCCTGAATCGGGGTACGCAATCCAGAACAAAGGGGGGAGGGGGGGGTGGCTCGGCTGTTTATGAGATTGTTTTTTAAACTTCCAGTTGTTGTGTTTTATTTTTTCTGCGAATGTGCGGGGTTCGCAATCCGGAAGGGGGGGGCGCTGTTTTTTTGTTTTTATGAGACATGTTGCCGCACCCCGGGAGCACGGGCCATGTTTCAGGAGTCTTGAGATAGGGCAGCGTTGAGCTGCAGGCGTTGGCAATTGGCACCTTGATGAATGAGCGCAGTGGGTGTGTAGCCAGTGCCTTGACACACTGTTGCCAGATGTTGCCAGCTTCTGAGAGAGACACGTGTTGTGAGAGAGCGCGTCTGTGTTGCAGTGACTTGTGCGGGTTTTGGCCAGGACTTGAAGCTTATTACGGAGTCGTCTGCAAGCGATCTCGCACAGGGTCTTGACATCTTCGGCCCACGCGGCAATGTGCAAGATGCTGTGTGTCATCCTGACACAAGTGGAAGGCGTTGAAAGCGGCGCTGCGAATATTCCAGGCACAAATGGCAGGACAATTGTGCAACATCACATTGGCCACGCGATGAATTTGGTGTACGACCCCTGCGTGTTGTTCGGTTTTTCTAGAACGACTGTTGGTGGGGCCGGCACACATATGCGTATGGGGCCTGGAGAGTCACCACAGACGCCAGACAACTCCTACAGCTTCTCAATTGTCCGGACGACTGCGAGCTTGAAAAGCAAGACATCGCCGCACGGACAGTGCTCGTCTTCCTTGCTTCCCGTTACTTCGGGGTGACGCCTGTTAAGGTTAACCAGGTCAACCAGGTTAGCTTATTGCGACATCGACTAAAATTCAACCAAAAAAAGAAACCAAAAGGTCAACAGCTCGATTCGCCTTGGACAAATAATTGCCTGATAGCTTCGGGGATTCCCTTGGCTGCCCTATGTTCCATGGGTTGAAACCGAGCCAACCCGAGCGAACGAATCGTTTTTGCAAAGCGCGAGGGGATACCCACGCTTTGCAGACTCTTGATTCCGTTCAAGTGACCAGAGCTTCAAGCGAAACACCTCCAACATAAAAACAGAACCCATCAAGAGGCAACCATGGCAGGTGACCAGCTTTAATTTGCCAAGATGTGACATGTTGGTGCCCCTGGCTAACTCATTTCCGAACAAGCGGATTGGCCCAACAAAATATTTACCTGGTGTTTGTCACCAAAATCCCGAAGTGAGCAGAAACTGGGGAAGTGAGAACCTGAACCAAGAAATCCCTGTCGCGAACATGTGTTGAAATACTTCCTTAGAAGCTACCAAGGATTCCTTTGGCGTCCTTTTGAAGCGGGCATCGAAAGATCAAGTTGAGGGTATGTTGAAGTCATCATGAAGATAATACGACAAATGTATGATTGAGTATTTCAAAACTGGATGTTGCACAAGTGAGCCACTCTATCTGAGCCACGGCCAAAGACGTGCTGCTATCCTACGCACCTTGGAAGATTCCCCCCCCCCTCGCCCCCAGGGGGTTGAGGTTAAAATACCGCAAGTGCCCCATGCCGAGCCCAAATGAACTCCAAAACGGCGGAGCCGTGCAGGTCCGCAGGTCCTTTTGCCCACAACATCACCAAGCCTCTCCTTTGTTTGGTGCCCCAAAACCACCAAACCCTGTTGCAGCTCCTAATTCAACCGCACCACTGGGTTCTTTCTGTCACTTCATGAGTGGATTAGCAACAATAAGGAACCAAACTGTTTGCTCCAAAACTTGCTACAATCCCAAAAAGTGAGAATCTTGAAGCCAAAGCCGAATCTTACCGGTGGATTCCACTGAAACTGCCACTTTTGGAACCTCCAAAAGGGAATCCCCATTCGTTCTTCGTTGAAACGGCCAAACCCGACCCCCCCCAATGGCGGCCCCGCTCCAACCTCCGACCTTCGGCGGCGGTAAGGCTGAGCTTCGCGCTGCGCATCGAAGGCCCGGCGGTGGCCGAGTACCGCGTGGGCGATGGGCCCCAGCAGCCGCTCCAGGCCTCTGCTCGACTCCGGGGCATCGTTGCGAGAGATTTGCGCGGGCCGTTGGGGGATCGTCGGTCTGGGGCTGAGGCGCTGGACTCCGATTGGTTTGACTTTTGACAGGAAGACATGTGTGTGTGTGTTTTGTTCATTGAACCGCCTTTTGGTTGGTTGGTAAAGAGGAAATCCGCCGACCCTCTGCCTCCCGTCCCAGCCTCCTGCAGAGGGGACCGGCGTGGGATGCAACTGGAAGTGATTGGAATCAATGATAGTCCCTGGGGGACACGCCCGAACGCACGAAAAGTGGATTTCTAGCACCGGTCCCGGGACCGGTCCCGGGACCGGTCCTGGGACCGGTCCTGGGACTGGTCCTGGGACCCTGGTTCTGCTGTTTTAGATTACTTGTAGTCAGCCAAAACCGGTCCTGGGACCGGCCCTGGACCGGTCCTGAGAACAATTCCTGGGACCGGTCCTGGGACTGGTCCTGGGACCGGTCCCAGCACCGGTCCTGGGACCGGTCCTGGGACCGGTCCTGCAGGACCGCTTTCAGGACTGAAGCCGGTCCGGGATGGAGTCCTGCCACCTCAAACCGCTCCAGACGCCTTTCCGGACTGGCACCCGGCCCAAGCGGTAATTAACGGACTAGCTGCCATATTTCTGACTTTTCCGTTAATCCTTGTTTGTGGTCGTAGAGGATCTTATAAGTGGTCCCTGGGTTTGCGGACGTGTTTCAGGACCGGTCCTTGTGACTTTTCCCTTAATGCGCCGAGGGTCGGCGGCAGCAGGCGGGAGCCTGGTTAATAAAAGGACCAAACCGATTTGAGGGTCTGTCTGTTGAGATATTTGAGATACCCTCCTTACGTTTCCATGGCACCTGACAGGTCTCTTCAAAAGGAACCTCATCTTCCAGGTGCCCTCTCGCAGGTGCTACGTGAGAAAGCCAGGCACGGGTCTGCAATTTAAAGAAAAACACCCGGCTCCGGAAAGGCGATTGAATCTCGATGGACTCCTGAACGAACTCCTTGGGCGGAAGCTATGGGAAGAGTCGCTTGGCGAATCCAAGATTGGAGTCATTCGTGTGAGCGCGACCAATACTGCCACCCTGCCACACAGAAGCATAGAACCTGAACAGGGATTGCTGGAACCTTTGCCCCGTGCAGGTTCCGGGAGGGTGTTAGCATCTGGAAGATCAGTTTTCTCGTGTCAATGCCCATAGACCTGTTAGCTGCACTGAAGAGAGGGTGTCTACAAATCCACCGCCAGGGGTGAGGATTCCCACGCCTTGAAGGCGATACATGGCCATCTTTGCTGGTCCGTTAAAGCACCAGTTGTGTTGCCATGTTCAAAGTTACCTCGCTCCTGCATTTCCTACAAAGCTCGAGGAGTGTTTCACGTCCAACGCCGAAACTCTCGAACAATGGAGTTCATGTTCCAATCAGGCATTGGGTACAATTCAAATGTTCAACACATGGTGGCGCAAGCACAAAACGATGGCAGAACCTGTTGCTCAGTGTATCAAAGCCCCAGCAGCCAGGAAAGATCCAACAAAAATCAGACGACTTGAATTGGAGGTGGCTTGACAAGTTCAGGTTCCCTTTGAGCTTGACATGAGGACTACCAACAACGGGTTTCACCAACTCAAAACAAAGAATTGTCGACGGATTGATCAATATGTGCCAACATGTTGCATCAGGCATGCGCCTCCCCGACTGATCCAGCTCCTGAACGGGTGACCCCCTGATCAAATGAAGGGTACTATCAAACACATGGTCCCATGTGGAGGTTGTTGTTTATTCCATTTTGGGGCTGGCTTCATGGGAGACCAAAGGAGGATTCTTTGTGGAATCTGTTGGAGGTCCTGAACTTCAGCACATCCCCACTATGAAAAAACTCATAGAAAACCACCTCAAAAATGGTGGACATGAGTCCCAAATTCGTGCCCGTTCGACCGATGCCGACGCCTGCCTTCAGGAGCCTGGCACACAGGAAGATGCGCGACACGCGCAAGCCACACAGTGATCAACCACACAAACGCTTGTAGGTAATACAAACCATTTGACCATTTGGAAGGTACATGAACAAACAAACAATACATAACATATATATATATATGTTCCAGGCCGTGGACCCCCCCCCCCCCCCCCCCCCCCCCCCCCCCCTGTGGGGGTGGGGTGGGTGGGTGGTGGGGTGGTGGTGGGGTTGTGGGGTGGTGGTTGGGTGGTTGGGTGGTTGGGCCAACCCCCCCCCCCCTGTGGGGGGGGGTGGGGTGGTGGGGTGGTGGGGTGGTGGGGTGGTGGGGTGGTGGGGTGGTGGGGTGGTGGGGTGGTGGGGTGGTGGGTGGTTGGGTGGTTGGGTGGTTGGGGTGTGGTTCGGAGTTGGTTTAGGCTTGGTGGGTTGGTTTAGGGTTGGTTCAGGGTTGGTTCAGGGTTGGTTTGCAGTGGGTTTCGGGTGGGTTTGGGTTTTGGGTTGATTTAGGCTTAGGGTTGGGGTTAAGGAGGGGTTGCAGGGTGGTTTGGTTTAGGGTAGGATGTTGCGAGAGGTGCGGGGGTGTTGGTTCACAGGGTGAAAGGGGGTCTGGGACCGAAGCTGCAGGGCTCGCACGGTACTGGACAGCATCCCCAGCATTGCCAGCATCATCCCCAAGATGCGGATGATGCGGGGGAGTGGGGGGACCATACCATTGGGGGGGGGGGGGGGGGGTACGTGGCCCAGGGACTGGTACATATATGTGTATGTAAAACAGCTGCATGTAAATATCCGATACTGGAGAGTTTCGGGATGGACCAAGAGCCTGCAAATGGTATGCCCCGAGAAAAGGAGAATACTTCGATTCTGTGACACCACGTTTCTTGGAGCCTGAATCATAATCACAACACTCCAAAGGAGAGCCAAACACGCCGTAGGCTTTGACGTTTGCGCGATCCGACGCACCAACACATAACAGCTGCATTATGCAAAATCTATTCGTTTGCGTTGACTGCCTTGCGCAGTCGTTCCTGCTTTAGAAAAGGACAACTGTTCTGAATGGTTGCCCAATGGTTGATTTCGAAGCCTTGTTGCGCGAATCGGCCAGGCCAGGTCTTCTAAACCAAGCATTCTTCCAAAATCACATGGGCCATTTCCCCCTACAAGTGGGGATCCTTCGATCCTTAAAGTCTTCGACTAGAGAAACCGCTCAGTTAAAGCTCTTTGAAGAATAGGCAACAAGCCCAACGGATTCCAGGCTAGTGTAAGCCGGGCTGCCAAATCCACTGCGTCAATCAAACGTCTCAGTCACTCGCGTGTCTCAGGATAGGTTGGGATGGGAATGCAGCTACCGGAATTCACACCCTCAAATGAGCCATCCCTGGGGGCCATTCATCATCAATAGGCTCGTGTTACCCCCAGTTGAGCTTGTGGAGCTGTTGTGAAGCATAAACCAAGGACAGCTGCCGCAAAACAAGCCAATTGGTTGTCTTTCCGGGGATCCCTTTCAAAAACAAACCCAAAACGCCTACCCTCAAGGAAAAACACCCATATGTTTTAGAATGAAGCCATCCTTTCCCTTCAGAATGACCTAACCCTTTGGGTGTTCTACTAGCTTCCATCTGCTTCTTCATCCCCTGGAAACAATAAGAGCAAATATATCCAGCAGTGAATTCGATTCCATTTAAACCAACAAGGGGAAACAACAAGGAAAACAACAAGAGAAACCAACAAGGGAAAACAACAAACACATGTACCTTTCAGCAAATAAGAACGCAAATCACGGAGAAAAACAAAAAAACCGCTTTACCCATGGACCAAAATCTCCAGCGCCTTGCACAGGAGCAGCTCGGAGCCGGGCCGGATCAGGAAATCGCAGACCTCCGTCTCCTGCCCAGCTGCAGCTCACCCCCCGCCCGGTGGATCATGGGCAAGCCCGGGAAACCAAGCCAAGGCAGCCAAGACATGGTCAAGTGTGGTCCGTGCATTGTCCCACAGCCGGGGCCAAGCACCGAAACCCACGCCGAGTGCTGCTTTTGGAGCAAGTGTAGCTATGGCCTAAGGTCTTGCCCCAGAAGGTTCCTATCCGATAAACCATGAGGCATGGTTTTGGGGTATGCGCGCTGGAAGGCCGAATTCATCAGAATAATCACTGATTTGAGGGTAAGTCCATTTGGAACAAGCCGAAGCTTCCATTGTTCTGCCATTTTCTACTATCATTCCAACCGCTGAACTAAGGGATCCCCAGGTAGAGAACCTTTTTCACGGTGAGCTCACTATGCCCCCAGGTGAGCTCGCAATCAATTCTGCAGACACACTATGATCAACCATAGTGTGTATCAATCATAGTCAAGGTCTCACGCGTCTTGTCTGGAATTCCACCTCGGCAGTGAACCACCAAGACTAGTACTGCACTAGGACCCTTGACGGGGATTTGCGCTTTCTTCCGCCGAAAAGCGTGGAATCGGACTTTAAACTTGCTTGCTATGCATTTCCTGGGATCTTGGTCGATAACCTGGCAGCCCCTTCCGCACATGTTTTCTCTTTGCGACCAACCGTCGATGGCTTCACTCACTTTGCCCACCACACGTGCATATTTGTTCTGGTATAAAGCAACAGCAGCAGACTTCTGACAGCTGGGAAAATACAAGGGTGTGGCTCAAACTTGAGGACCAAGGGCCCCGAGAGATCTTCTTCTTCAAACCGCGGGTTGCGAATCAACTGTACCCGTTTGGCTGTGGGTCAATATAAATGGGATCCCATTTTGGGGTAGGTGCACCACCCATTTTCGCACCTATTTTAGTGGGGATGGGGATGTTCAGTGGGGGTACGAATTGGATTTTGACCCATGGCCATTCGTTTGAGCCGCAGCCGGAAGTTGGTGCGCCGCGGTGCCGTCGCGCATCGCTCGCTCGCCAAACTCCGAGAGCAAAACTTCTGGGATCAGACCGAGGGATCCGACGGTAGACCTTGCTACCATGGCCCCAGGCGAATTTTTTCGCGCAGCCGAGTCTGTAAATCTCAAGGCCGCCCTATGCCTGCTTAAATTGGGAACGCCCCCAGTTTTTGGCGGCCCGCAACGGGAGATCGCGCAAACGAGGTGTTTCCGGGGCAACTTCGGGAATTGAACAGTCACACCTCTCAGCACATCCGGTTTCTCAGGTTGTTTTGGGCTGTTCTGTTTCTGGCTGAAACTGCCCGAAATCCAAACCCGTTGCGGCGTCCCCAGTCAAAGGCTCTCCGACAAATTACACTGTCTGGATTCCTTTTGGTTGCGTCCAGCCCAGACCTGTGGCCGTGGGATTAGGACACCCTGTTTTTGCCAATCGACTCAGGGAAACCCTTCCACTCAACGTACCACTCCACTTTCCAGACGCCCCAAATGAGCTGAGCAGCAGCTTCACACTTCTGCTCTTGCCTCTGACGCCTCGCTCTGAAACCGAGCACCCTTCTGTTCTTGCCGCAGGGTGCAGGCGCTGACGCCGAAGATGACCACCACCGCAAAGGACACCACCACCTGTACAATAGCGCCTTGGGAGACACATGGGTTCTTTTCTGTGCCGACGACGACGTGTGTTGGTTGGTTGACTCTCAAGGAAAGGAAAAGGGACACCCGAAATGTGTGGTTGATTTTGAAGGTACCCCGGCGCCCCGTTTTTGCAGCCAGTAGCAATGAACAGAACCAAACATATGCCAAGAACAGTGGACCAAAAAAAATATAAGGGACCTTCATGGGGACGCGAGATATTTTTTACAAAACTGCGAACTGAGGATGCTCCTGCGGCGCGTACTCAAACTAGGAAATCATGAGAAACACGCCGAGAATGGCTCACGTAAAATGGGTGTTTCTCTCAGATAGTCCCCCAAATTGCTCCCTTTGAATACCAACTAGGTCCTCCAGTAGAGAGGTTAGAATCAGGGTACCTTTTTCTGTAGTCTATTTTAGTAGGGGAACCCTCCCCAAAAAAAGGGGGTGAGAAAGGGCGCCTAGCTGGGGGACCTAGCCAAACGAAGGGTGGTCTCCCACCTTTCATTGTTTCTTCGCCGCGGCGCAGTACGCGGCCGTGCCAAGGGTTCCGACCTCCATGAGCCACTGCTGGGTGTCCGAAGATGCGCCCAAGCAGAGGGCAGCGATCATGCAGCCGCAGGAGGCCGCGGCAAAGAAGGAGGCGGACACCTGGCCGAGACAAAATCTCGCGAATTCCTTGCCGGCCAAAAATGCTCGAAGTTGATGGTTTCCTTGCTGGTGCGAGAGGCAGGGATTGAGGAAATGACCTCATATAAACCGTCCAACTGGTGGTTTCCTTCAAGGGGACCCCTGGGTTCATTCCCACATTCCCTACTGAGCACCAGCAAGTTTGATCTATGGTCTTCCGAAAAGCATGTCCAACTGAAGTGAGAAAGGCTGAATGCCCTTCGAGGCTCGAAAAGTCAAGGGAAACGATGCACCGCGGAAATTTGAACAGAAAAGGGTACCGATTCCAACAGAAGGTTGGAGGTGGGCCTTGTTTGGAGGCCTTAAAAATCACCCAAAGGGAAACTCGATCACTGTGCCTTTCCAAAACTCGGCGCTTAAACCATCCAAAGGATTTGATTAGCAGAGCGTGTCCCCGTCGTGAACATTCGAGATGGCAACCCCCTTTGCCTGGCTAATCAAACCGCTGTGCCGGGGTTCACCGCAGCCGCTGAGGCTGAACAAAGCAGCTGCCGCACAAAGGGTGGCGATGCAGGCACAACCTGCGGGCGGTCAGGGGCGGGCATCGGAACCCGCATAAGGAACCCAAAAAACAAACATCTCACGACTCCTCCTGTGAAGGTATTTGGCAGATCAATATTCCTGGGCCCCAAAATGACCATGGATAACTTTTCCCATGTCGTGATTGAAATACTGAATCATGTTAGTGGTTTTACAGCCAATGGTCATCCTGTATTTACCGGACCTTGTGATCAACCCCCGTTTCTTGCTTTGATTTACATCACGTTTCGGATGCCCGGACAACTTCAGCGACCTGGCCACGGGCCATTGGGCAACCAGGCAAGCTCGGGGTGCGAAAGAAGGCGTCCACCGGAAAACCTTCGCCCTCACCAAGCTGCCAGGCTTCAAAAAGCCAACGGCGTTGTGGGTTCTTCAAAATTGGGGCACGGCTGGAAGGCACGCCATCGGGCAGGAAGCAATTTGCAACCCATTCAATCTGGTGAAGCCTATTCCATCGACTGCCTGGACAAATTCATGCGCAAACACGGCGCAAGGGGAGACGCCACCTCTGAACTTGGTTAACATCCCACGGTTTTCATTTGGCCATGGGTCAAAATGCCGTACCCCCAGTGAACATCCCCATCCCCACTAAAATAGGTGCTAAAATGGGTGGTGCACCTACCCCAAAATAGGATCCCATTTGTATTGACCCACAGCCATTTGTGTGTGTCCTTTTTAGCAACCCCAAATTCCCTCCAGGTGGCTTCCTTCAACCCCCCCCAAACAAAAAGACGGGCGGGCCCCCGATTTGAGAGAGATCTCTTGGGTCCCTGAAGCTACCTGTTGGCTTCCTGGCATCTAGACCTGATTTCTCTTCCGATGCAAGCCAGCTTGGCAAATCGTAAGGGAACGTCCCACCAAACACGAACACTGAACTGAACTGGGAAGCCCACGAAAAGTGGACCACGCTGAAAAGTGTGTTGCTTAAAGGATGCACCTAAAATCATGTAGAAACTTCTTTGGAAAAGCTTGGCCCTTTTTGCCTGGCTAACATACGTCCGTGAAGGGACCCGATGAACTACTGGGTACGACTGCTAACCCGACCTTGCCTAAGGAGCAGCCAACTAGCGCTCTCAGCTTGTAGATCTTGTCGCCTCACGGAAACGCAACGTGAACAACGTGCTGCTCCCAACCGAAAAACCAAGGCTCTCTCTCTCTCTCTCTGTGTCTGTGTCTGTGTCGTTGTGTTTTTTTCTTCTCCGAGTTGATGTTCTTTTTAGGTTGCTTTGAAGGGAAACCAATAGGAAAACCAATCACACGCCCACTTTTTGTTGGCGAGATTGCACGTTTCGCCAATTGAAAGCCAGGCTCTTGGTGGTGACGTATACCGTCGCTCCGGGCCGCAAACAATTACATGCCATTTCCTTACCGCCTTGTGAGGTTAGGGAAACTAGGAACCGCCCAAAGCGATGGTTTGACAATGGCTGGAAGCCTTGGGACATCTGCGCTTCCGGGTCCAGCGGAGCGTCAAGCCAAACAAAACGTTGCCGGTGTCAGCGAGAAATCAAAGCCGATGGATTGCCTTGTTGACTCAACAAGCTTGCCCGGGGAAAACCAAAAGGTCAAAAGGTCGACTAAGTTGGCTAATACATTGGGAGCAAAACACTTTGCAACATGCTGCAATGGGCAAAGAAAGTTCCGGGCGAAACCTGAATGCGAGCCCGAAGTAACATGTGTGTAGTTTGGCTTAGTTCCCAGTAGCCACCCACCAGAAATAACAGGGCTCCCTATATTTCCCCTTAAAACATCACCCCCACCAAGGGCTACTCACCTTTCATGGACCAAAAAGGTGATGTTTAAAACCACCCGTCTCTTTCTTCGGACTGCACCCCACGTGTGAGTGCAGCCCGAGTCCGTTCTCCTTAGCGCGGCGCCCGAAGGCGCTCTTTGCGAAACCTCCGTCTCGTCCACTGTGACTCGACGATATCCCCTTCTTGCAAAGGGATGGAAATCATGCGAATGTCTGCAACCAAAGTGGGCAGGTCCCCAATGATGACAGGGCAACCTGCCTTGTTGCGAAGTGCTTGCGTTATGTCTTCGTGGAAAGGGAACCACGGCCTTTTCTGAAGACCAGGTCGTGCCTGGAAGAAACCGAGGGCCCGGAGGCTTTGAGGTCTGCTGCAAGTGTTGCAAG